CCAGCACTTTGGAAGGCCAAGGCGGGCAGATCACTTGAGGTCAGGAGTTTGAGTTCAGCCTGGCCAACATAGTAAAACCCCATCTCTACTAAAAAGACACAAAATAGCCATGCATAGTGGCACAGGCCTGTAATCTCAGCTACTCAGGAGGCTGAGTCACAGGAATCATTTGAACCCAGGAGGCAGTGGTTACAGTAAGCCAAGATCCTGCCACTGTACTCCAGCCTAGGTGACAGAGTATGACTCTGTCTCCAAAAAAAAAAAAAAAAAAAAAAAAAAAAATTAATTAATTAATTAAAAACAAAAAACTAGCAAGCTGTGGCGGTATGCTACTTGGTCCTAGCTATCTGGAAGGCTGAGCTAGGAGGACTGCTTGAGCCCAGGAGTTCAAAGTTACAGTGGGCCACCTATGATGGGGCCACTGCACTCCAGTCTGAGCAACACATCCTGCCTCAAAAAAAAAATAAATAAATAAAACCAGCCAGACATGGTGGCTCATGCCTGTAACCCCAGCACTTTGAGAGACTGAGATGGGCAGATTACTTGAGGCCAGGAATTTAAGACCAGCCAGGCCAACATAGCACAACCCCATCTCCACTAAAATATAAATATTAGCTGGGCGTGGTGTGTACCTATAACCCCAGCTACTAGAGAGGCTGAGACAGGAGAATTGCTTGAACCCAGGAGGCAGAGGTTGCAGTGAGCTGAGAACTCGCCACTGTACTCCAGCCCGGGTGACAGCGTGAGACTGTCTCAAAAAAAGAATTAGTAAAAACAAAGTAAGAATAAAGATTTCATTCACTGAACAATTTTCGTTCAGTCCAAATATTGCTGTAGCATCTGCCCTGGAGTGCCTCTGTGGCCCTTGGTTCTGCAAGCCTTGTCTGGCTGGAGGCAGACATGAAGATCTCAATGCCCCGTGCTGGTATCCCTGCCAACTCTCGTGGTAGGTGACTCTGGCAGCCAACGTGCCCACATTCCGCACAGACTAGATGAATGACCAATGACTAAGAGACCTGTAGCCCCCAGCCCAGGACTGCCGTGATGCAGCCAGTCCCTAACTTCCAGAACCTTCCACAGAGCGGCCAGCCGGGGCACTCACGCAGCCGGCAGATGGGGCAGTTGTTGGCCTGGTAGCGCAGCGTGTCAGCGCATGAGGTACAGAGGCACAGGTGGCGGCAGGGCAGGATCAGCGTGTCCCGCAGGTCAGACAGGCACACCACACACTCATTGCTGTTGTCGCTGTTCTCGTCGTCCGAGGGCTGTGGGGACAAGGGCCTGTGAGTCGGCAGCCTCCCAAGGGCCAGAGCAGGGCTCCAGTTTCCTGTCCCCAGCTGCCCCACCCTACTCTGCGGCTGTCATGACAAAGAGAAATCCAGAAGGCAGGAGGAGTTTACCCCAGAACAGAACCACGAGGCTCAAACCCAGTGTGAAGCCAGCTCCCAGCGGAGGGGAGGATCTGTGCCCCTCATCCACCACATCATGAGAACATGCTCTCCTTCTGTTCTTCCAACCCAAAGAGAAAATGTGGGAGAGATCCACCCAAGAAACTTAACTTCCTAATGTCAGGGTACCCGCATTTTTGGTTTAAAAAATGCAGTTCACATGTTAGGAATGTTTTCATTAAGTAATGGCAGCTACCAGAAATCAAATTAGCAAGTGGACAAAGAGCCAAAACTCTAAAACAGGGATCCACAAACCAGGCTCTTGGGCTGTTTCCCTAAAGTCTTATTGCAACACTGTCCCACCCACGCATTTCCATACCGTCGCTGCTGCTCCTGTTTAATGGCAGCGTGGAGTCCCTGCAACAGAGACCACACACCCAGGCAGCTGAAAACATTCACTCTCTGGCCCTTTTTGGAAAGTTGGCCACCTTCTGGTGTGAAATGTGAATGCACTGACTGTTCTCGGCTGAGGCGAGGCCCAGCCAGGAGCTCTGCTTCTGCCACATGGAGCTACTCCAGCTGTCCTGGGCCCAGATGCCACACTGAAGCGGGCGTGTGAGGCTTTCCGAGATCTTAAGAGCCAGGAGTTTCTCTCATGCCGGTGTGCCTTTAAACAAGATCATCGGCCAGGTGCAGTGGCTCAGGTCTGAAATCCCAGCACTTTGCGAGACTGAGGTGGGCAGATCATGTGAGGTCAGGAGTTTGAGTCCAGCCTGACCAATATGGTGAAACCCCATCTCTACCAAAAATACAAAAATTAGCCGGGTGTGGTGGCACACGCCTGTGGTCGCAGCTACTCGGGAGGCTGAGGCAGGAGAATGGCTCGCCGCTATATTCCAGCCTAGGCTACAGAGTAAGACTCTGTCTCAAAACAAAAACAAAAATTAATTTCATCCCCTGTTCCGTTCCCTGGCTGGGCTGCACCAAGGCTAATTTGTCAGGCACCATGGCTGGTTCTATGGACATCCAGAATGGGCATCCCCCGCCCAGGAGCTGCAGGGACTCGCTGCCTTCGGGGAAGCAGGCAAGAATCAGCCGGCAGGGGCCAAACAGCTGAACCTGGAGGGAAGGCAGAACACTGGCCCCCATTTCCAGGCTACCCTGGGGGACCTGGATGGCAATTTACATAACAAGCCAGTGAATTTGCTGGAAAAAAGATAAAATGTTCCATACATTCTGTTAGCTTTATAAACACAAAATTAAGGAAAATTGATGGCATCTAGGGGTCCAGGACCCCAGAGGAAGGCATGGAAGGGAACTGGTGCGTCGCTGTCCCCCGGCTGCTCCCATCGAGCATTTTGTAATGGCAGAGGGAAACCTCACCCAGGTACACACCTTGGTCTCCTGGTTGTTCTTGTTCTCGATGCCATAGATCTCCTGCAGGAGGTAGCTGACCCGGTCCACCTGGAGAGCAGAGAGGGGCTCACTGGGCCCTCACCAACTGTCATGTGAGGGCTCCTCCACACCCACCTGGCCTAGCCCCCCTCCAAGGTACCAGGCGTCCATCCCAAGGACCTGTCCAGCTTGACACCTGCGGGCCAGGAGAGGGTCAGGGAAACTTGCTGTCTGCCCCCACCTAACCAGCAGCACCAGGAACAGGGCTAGAGCCAGTGGTTCTCCCCACCACCAAGGGCCTGGAGCCAACTCACCGGCCCCACTGCCACCCCCTGCCTGCCTCACTACCCCCAACACCACTTGGTTCCACTGCCATCAGCCCCATGAGGGCAGCGGGAGCCAATGCCTGAAGGCACCAGATGGCAGCCTAAGCATCCACTGCTTTCCAGAGCCTCCTTCCATAGGACACAAAAGCCTCTCTAGTTTCAAAGACACCAAGACAATGTCTCCGAGCTGATTCTGTCCTGCTGCCCACTCGCAACTGGAAAGCCTCACACTGACCATGTTGCAAAGGGTTCCGAGCTGCTGGGTTTCCCATGAACCAGAGGCCAGGAGCACCACTCCAGGGAGCCCAGGACCTGCTGAGCAGCTCTCTCAACACAAGGCCCTGTCCGTCACTGGGGTCTCCTGTTCCCCTGGCACCTGTAGGAGCCTGGACCTGCTAGAGTTTGCTACACCTCTCTTTCGTTTATTATAATCTTCATTTTAAACAGAGACAGGATCTCCTCTCCCTATGCTGCCCAGGCTGGTCCCAAATCCCCAGGCTCAAGCAATTCTCCTGCCTCCACCTCCCATAGTGTTGGGATAATAGGCATGAACCGCCACACCCAGACAACCTCTCTTCTAAAGAGCTAACAAATGGCGGGGCGCAGTGGCTCACACCTGTGATTCCAGCACTTTGGGAGGCCAAGGCCAGTGGATCACTTGAGGCCAGGAGTTTGAAACCAGCTTGACAAACATGGCAAAATCTCCTCTCTACTAAAAATACAAATATTAGCCAGGCATGGTGGCATGTGCCTATAGTCCCAGCTACTTGGAAGGCTGAGGCAGGAGAAATGCTTGAACCGGGAGGCAGAGTTTGCAGTGAGTTGAGATCACGCCACTGCACTCCAGCATGGGCGACAGTGCGAAACTCTGTCTTGTCTCAATAAAACAAAATTAAAATATAAAACTAAATAACATATAACTAAAAAGCTAACAAAAATCATTCCCAAGTGGTGGCTTGAAATGGGTCTTATGTGCCCCAGCAGTACACACAGGGTAACTGCTAGCCACGGCATAGGACGTCTCATTAGCAAGCTCTAACGTTGCTGTTTAGGGGACACCACCCTCTAAATTCTGTGCCTACATATGAGGCCACCTGGAGTAACACTTCCCAATGCAGCATCCCAGGATTACTGACCCCAGAGAAGAGATGGACTGGTCTCTAGTTTCCATTTGTTCTAGGCTATTTGATCCTTCTTTTCAAGTATTGATTAAGTGAAGCCAAGTTTCTGTCCAACACTGACATACTGGACAATTCGTAAGGAAGAGAAGGAGCTGCAGCCTTTGTTTCCTGTCTCTTTCCTTCCTTTTTCTACTCATCCATTTATTCAGCACATACTTACTGAACAGTATGCTCCAGACAGCATGGTTCAAACTGGACAGAAATCAGGGCCTGCAAGAGTCCCTGCTACACAGTGGGCACGCAATACACATGCTCCCCCAAGACAGGGACCCGAAGTCCCGGAGCTTGGAGCTCTACAGGGAAGTTAACAGGCTCTTGCACAGCTCTTTTTTTTTTGACACAGAATCTTATTCTGTCACCCAGGCAGGAGTACAATGACATGATCTCAGCTCACTGCAACCTCCGCTCCTGGGTTCAAACAATTCTCCTACCTCAGCCTCCTGAGTAGCTGAGACTACAGGCATGCATTATTACACCTGGCTAATTTTTTTATTTTTAGTAGAGACAGGGGTCTCAGCATGTTGGCCAGGCTGGTATCAAACTCCCAGGCTCAAGTGATCTGCCCACCTCAGGCTCCCAAATTGCTGGGATTAAAGGCGGGAGCGCCTGTGCCTGGCCTCTGCACAGTTATTTCAAAGGCAGCCACGGTGGACTAGGAAGACCAGTGCATGAAGACTACTCAAGAGTGTGTGTGTGTGTGTCTATGTAGGTGTGTGTGTGTGTACATGTCTATGTATATGTGTGTATCTGTGTGTATGTGTGTGTGCCTGTGTACATGTGTGCAAGTGAATGTGTGTCTACGTATTGTGTGTCTATGTATGTGTGTGAGTATATGTTGTCTATGTATGTGTGTGTGAATGTGTGTTTATGTATATGTCTGTATATCGGCATGTCTGTCTGTGTAAGTGTGTTTGTGTCTGTGTGTGTCTGAATCTGTGTGTGTGTCTGTCTATGTATATCTGGCTTTTTTGAGACAGTTTTGCTCTCAAAAGGCTATGTATTTGTATCTTATAAAAGTCAATGTATCTGTGTATGAGTATGTGTGTGTTCGTGAGTGCCTATGAGTATATCTGTGAGTGATTGCACGAAGGGTGTTTTTTTTTTTTTTTTGGACAGAGTTTCTCTCTCAAAAGGCTGGAGTGCAGTGGGACAATCTCAGCTCATTATAAACTCTGCCTCCTAGGTTCAAGCGATTCTCCGGACCTCAGCCTCCCAAGTAGCTGCGACTACGGGCACCCACCACCATGCCTGGCTACTTGTTATATTTTTAGTAGAGACTTTCACCATGTTGGCCAGTCTGGTGTCGAACTCCTGAACTTGTGATCTGCCTGAGTGTGTGTCTTTTAAATCAAATGGGCCGTATTTCATCTGATGACTTACGATTTGCTTCTGCTTTAAAGGCTTCACAGAGAAGCTTCCATCCATGTGCTGCAGGGGAAAAAGACACAGAGGTTAAGGCAGTCAAGCTGGCGCCTCTGAGCGCCCCTGTGCAGCCGCCTGGGTGGGCCACCCTGCCCTCGCCAATCCAGGTCCACAGCCAGAAAAAGAAAAAAGATGGGGCCACTTGAAAACTGAAGTGCCAAGATTTCTCCAAACATAGCACTCAGGCCTGGCTTTGCAACTATCTGAAGCCTCCTAAATACACAGCCCCGGAACCCTGTTCTGACCCACAGAACCCATCTCTTCTAAGTTGGTCTCAAGCACATTCAAGTGAAGGCCAACAGGCCAAGTTCAGATGATGGACAAGGGCCTGCTGCACACCAAGAAGCAGCACCTGGCTGCAAACATCAAGACACACCAGTTCCTGCTCTCCGAGGGCCCAGCTTAGTTAGGAAGACAGAGCAGGAGCACACACACACGTGCACACAGCAAAGTGCAGAGCTCCAGAAATGCAGGAACCAAGTAGAACAAGTGCGCCCGGTGGTATCCAGGGAAATACGCCACTCAGAGTTCAACAAGGTTAATCACGGCGTGAGATAGGTGACCTCACAACAACACTTATTATCCCTTCTCGGTCAACCATGACCAGCACTCAGAATTTTCTGGTGAGGCTGGTGGGTTCTAACAGAAATTTCCAGAATGTTGGCCCCCGAAAAATAAAGCAGTTTCCTAATGGGAAACTGGAAGCACAGAATGGACCGTTTTGCCAGAGACCAACCGTTTGCCTCTGCCAGAGGTGCAGATGTGTCAATAGTCACTGTGGCTTCTGATGAGGCCAGGCTGGGGAGCCCAGTGCTAAAAACGGGGAAGGCTGCCTCCTGCCCAGGAAACTTGTATCACCACACTCTATGGTCCTGGACCCAGGAGAGGACAGACTCAGCCTCGTCACAGGACAGACGGATGCAAGGGGCCTCTACCCAGCTTACAGACACCTTGGCCCTGGGGTGCTCTACAAAGACCTAGATGACAGGGAAGAGCTGGACCCTGCACTTAGGGCTCTCGGGCTGCAGCTGCACATAGGGCTGGGGGTGCATGGAGAGCCTGGGCTAAGCAGGACCCAGAGGCAGCGTGAAGCCCCCAGCAGGCAGGCTGGCCTTGTCTCATGGGATCCTTTTCCCATCTTGACTCCTGGGCTGCAGGATGGTGCCAAGCAGACCTGCAACTGCGGAGTGCTGATGAACGTCAGGGCACACTGGAGGCAGGGCCCCTGTGGCACCACCAAACAAGGACGCATACCACCACCTCCAGCAAGTTCTCAGTGAGCAGAAACCCAGGCAGGCAGCAGCCCCTCGACCATCCTGCCAGTGTTCCCGGAGTGTCTGCTCCATGCCAGGTGTTAAACTCAGCTCTGAGGACACCGTGACACCCAAGAGGACAGTGCTGCCCTCATGAACATAAAGTGGGTACAAGAGATGTTTCTCCTGAGTGGCATCAGGAAAGGCCTCCTGCAGGGAGCAAGGCCTGCCTAGCCTGTAGGGTCAGAGTTCCACAGCCAGGTAGGAGAAGGGGCAGTGGGAATGGGGTTCTGTGACACGTGCCAGGTGATACCGAGGACAGTGAGCTTGCTCATCTCTTCACATCCGATGGGGAAGTCAGTCTACCACAGGGAGCCCAGCCCCTATGTCAGCAGGCTCGAAAGAGTTCTAAAGGGCTGGCCTCAGTCTAGAAAATTCTCCCTCGACACACTTCAAGTACCATTTGAAAAACCTCTTGGCCGGGTATGGTGGCTCACGCCTGTAATCCCAACATATTGCGAGGCCAAGGTGGGAGGATCACTTGAGGCCAGGAGTTTGAGACCAGCCTCAGAAACACAGAGAGAACTCTCTACAAAATTTTTTTTTTTTTTTAATTAGCCAAACGTGGTGGTGCGTGCCTGTAGTTCCAGCTACTCAGGAAGCTGATGTGGGAGGATCTCTTAAGCCCAGAAGGTCAAAGCTGCAGTGAGCTGAGATCACACCACAGCCCTCCAGCCTGGGCAACGAGAGATCCTGTTTTTGTTTTTGTTTTTGTTTTTAAAAAAAAGAGGCCAGGCCCAGTGGCTCATGCCTGTAATCCTAACACTTTGGGAGGCCGTGGCAGGTGGATCACCTGAGGTCAAGAGTTTGAGACCAGCCTGGCCAACATGGTGAAATCCTATCTCTAATAAATATACAAAAATTAGCCAGGCGTGGTGGCACATGCCTGTACTCCCAGGTACTGACGGGAAGCTGAGACGGGAGAATCACTTGAACACAGGAGGCAGAGGCCGCAGTGAGCCAAGATCATGCGACTGAACTCCAGCCTGGTGACAGAGTGAGACCCTGTCTCAAAAAAAAAAAAAAAAAAAAAAAATGCTTACAGCCATTAGTGGACATAGCGGGGCAGGGGGAAGCAAATGCAAAGCCTCCAGACAGTGGCTCTGCCCTGGGACCAGACTTCCGGAAAGCAGGAAGCCATAGGCACGCCCCCACCTGCTCTGGGCCCGAGCTCAGCCACTCCACCAAGCCCCAACCCCTGCTCAGGCTTCTCACCTGAAAAGACCTCCCCCTCCCCAGCTCCCAGGTCCCCAGGAAGCTGACCACCAGATGGCACTTACCTTTTCAAAGGCGGCCAAGAGCACGTGGGCATGGCCGGTCACTTCCACCACTGCTGGGGAGAGAAGGGCAGAGCAGTCAGAGTCTGGGCCTGCCCAACCCAGGCATCTCACCTCCCCATCTCTGGCAGGACTGCGGCACCCGGGGCTTGACCTGTATAGAGTCCAGAGAGTCCAGAACCTGTTCTGGGACCCACCTTCCTCCTCCCCCGGACTCCAAGCTGCCCCAGCCCAATGCCCTACGCCTGGCCTGCTTCATCACTGCTGCAGGTGCTCCTGCCGCCAACCGAGTGACAAGGGCCTCAGGATGCACTTCCTCGCCATGCAGCCCGCACACCCAGGAGGACAAAAGATGATGCGCTCACTGTCTCCTTCGTCCACCACGGCCTGGATGACCACTGGAAACATGCCCCGGTCCAGGTCAAAGTTCAGCTGAGGAGAGAGTTGGCAATAAGGGTCAGGACCCACACAGCCAAGCCTGGAAGCCTGGAGTCACTCGGCAGCTGAGCTGGAGGGAGCGGCAGGAGCAGGAGGCGGTGGTAGAGCTCAGAGGACACGCCTCGAGATGGCAGGGAAGGCGGATGCTGGACCTGGCACCTTTTTTATGTGTATGTTAAAACAGATATAACACAAAATCTGCAATTTTAACCACGATTCAACAGTGTTGAGTAAAGAACAACTGTAATGACATGCCAGTGCCACCGTCCATTTCCAGAACTTTTCATCATCCCAAACAGAAACCCCAGGTGCAGCCATCAGCCCCCACACACTCCCCGTCCAGCCCCCGGCAGCCACCCACCACGTGCTTCCTATCTCCAGGGATTTGCCATTTTCAGACATGTCATTTATGTGGAGTCGCACAGTAGGTGACTTTCTGCGTCTAGGTGTGTTTTCGAAGTGCACCCATGCTGCAGCACGTATCAGTGCCGCTTTCCTTTTTCTGGCCGAGTAACAGGCGCTGTGTGAACAGCCACACGCTGGGCGTGCGCTGCTCTGTGATGGATGCCAGGCTGTGCCTGCACTCTAGCTACAGTGAGCAGCGCTCAGTGGGAATCGGGTTCTCGAGCATTTTCAGTTTTCAGTTCTCCTGGGTGGGTGCCTCGGAGGGGAAATGCTGGTGACAGGGCGACTCTCTGTTAACTTTCTGACGAAGGTGCCCGACTTGGCCCCAGCAAAAACTGAAGGCAGGTGAAGGAGACCATAAGGCTGACCTGAGTTCAAAGAGAAGCATCCTACTGCTTTCATCCCCCCGCTGGCTGCACACAGGCTGAAGGCCACCCTCTTCCCCAGGCCCCCAGGGCCCCAGTAGCCAGCCCAGCAGAGCACCATCCCCTCCGAGCCCTGCTCCCCCGCACTGCCCCCTGCCAGCCAAGTCCTCTGGGCCTCAGGAAGCACTTGGCCCTTGGCCTTCTATGACTCATACCCTGGCAACCAGGAAAGCCACCGACCACCCTCAGGCTCCCTGACTCGCTCCATGGAGCGTGGGGACCCTGCCTCTGCAGTCACTGTGACATCCTCGGACTCTCGCACAGGCAAGCAATGGACACATGCATTTGTTTATTCCGGGAGGAAAAAAATCATTTATTTCTCAATAAAGATTTACTGAAAGAATGGATGCTGGGTGCACCATGGTGAATGCTCTAAAAGCCAGCAAATCGCACACTTAATACGAGTAAGCTGTAGGAGATGTGAATTATAACACAATAAAGGTGTTAAAAAAAAGTGGATGACACATGAAAGAGGCAGCACCTGGCAGGCCCAGCCCAGGCAAGGGCAGATGGGTTGGGGCAGAGCCTCCTGACGCCTGAGCCTGACCACAGGCCTCACTGACCAAGACCCCCGTACAGAGGACCGGCCCCTCCATGTCTGCAGCAAACACCCCCATGGACATCCAGGTGGGACTGCTTCTGGCCCTGCACACAGGAACCCTGAGCCCGAGGCCAAGCACCCGCCCCTGAATGGAGATGCTCAGAACCAACAGACACACATGATGACTCCCCTCCCCTGCTGTCCCTTGTTGAAGGGGGCAGCAGAAGCAGAGCAGGGGGACACTTCCCCACCCCAGTGGCCCAGGGTAACTTTCATCATCTCAGGTCCTCCTACCTCTCTGAGCCTCGGCTTCCTTCCCTGTAAAATGGGGTCATTACTGAGCTACTGCATGGGTTTCCAGGACAAAGTACAAATGAAGTCCTCTCAACAGACCCAGCACAGAGACACTGCCTATGGTGATTGCTACGGCTGTTGTGAATAACACTATTATGATTATTTTGGTTTTTGAGACCAAGTCTTGCTCTGCCCCCCAGGCTGGAGTGCAGTGGCACAATCTTGGCTCACTGCAACCTCTGCCTCCCAGGTTCAAGCAATTCTCCTGCCTCAGCCTCCCAAGTAGCTGGGACTACAGGCGCCCAACACATCCAGCTAAATTTCTGTATTTATAGTAGAGACAGGGTTTTACCATGTTGGCCAGGCTGGTCTTGAACACCTGACCTCAAGTGATCTGCCTGCCTCAGCCTGCCAAAGTGCTGGAATTACAGTCATGAGTCACTGCTCCTAGCCAAATATTACTGTTATTTAAGGAACAGAGGGAAATGTTTCTTCCTAAGATTTGGAAACACATTGAATTTCCTATCAAAAATATGGACGAGGAGATAGGAGTTACAGCGCACCAGAGAGAACAGTCAGGAGAAGGGGACTGGGAGAAACATCAGTGTCAGGTAAGTGCCTGACTGCGAACCAGGGAAGCTACGTGGACACAGGAGAAAATGTGGCAGCTCCCAGCCATGTCCCCGCCCAGCAGGGACTCCACACCCACAGGCGCCTGGCACATGGCTACCTCAGCTTCCTGTCATCTGGAGCTAAGAATCCATTCTGACCAGAATGAATGGTACACCTAACCCATCCACACAAGAAGCCCTGGGCAGGCAGCCATCAGCTGAACAAACCACAAACCTGGAGACTCAAGTCCACGTGGGCCTAGTCTTCACATCTCACGAGGGAGGGTCACAGGCTCTGGCTACATGGCCTGTGGGACGGACACCAATGTACACGTAGACAGAGGTGGACTGAGACACTGGTGCTGGGGTCTGCGCTGTGAAGGATGTGAGTGCCGTGGTCTCTATTAGTGAGGAAGGGGGAGCCAGGAGCTGGCAGGGCACTGGCCCAAAGCCAGTCAGGGCTACTGATGTCCAGTCTAGCTCCTCAACCATTCACTACAAATGGGCCCCACCTGAGCCTCAGTTTCTTCATTTGGAAAAATGGAATGGAAGCCATGCCTAACGCAAGGCTTCAAGTGCTGTGGCTGGCAGAGCACACAGTCAACACCAGCGACCTGAAGCCCTGTGTCTCCAGGCAACAGGAGCCGACCCAGTCTCCTCCAGGAGGGGGCTGGAGGGGGCTGGAGGGGGCTGGAGGGTGCAGAAAGGTGGCCAAGGAGGCCAGTTCTGGGCTACAGACATCAGAAGGTGGCAGGCTGGTGGACGTGACACGGGGGCTTCTGTAATCCCAACACTCTGGAAGGCCAAGGTGGGAGGACTGCTCGAGCCTTGCTTAACCCAGCAGTTTGAGGCTGCAGCGAGCAGTGATCGCGCCACTGTGCTCCAGCCTGGGAGACAGACAGAGGCCCTGTCTCAAAAAAAAAAAAAAAAAAAAGAGAAAAAAAAAGGCTTCAGGGAGGTAGGGCACTTGTCTATAGCCAGGTCTTCAGCTCCCAGCCGTCTGAGGGATACCACAGAAACCTGGGCTTGCCAGGAGGGACACTCCCTTCCCTGGTCTGAGGTGACTGTCAGGGGCTGATCCTGTGGGACTATCACCCCCTTATGAGCCCGCTTCCTGCCCACTCCACTGAGTCTGCGCAGGAGCCATCGTCCCAGGGTTGCCTGGCAACGCTCCCACGCTGCTGCCACAAGGGATGTCATTCAGCATGGGAAGGGGGAGTTCACACGCCAGCAGCCGCTCCTTTAGATGATAGAGCCAGACGGAGGAGTCAGAGCTCTATGGAGCTTGCCCACCCCCGCACTCCTGCCCACCCCCGAGCTTCCGCCCAGGCCTGGAATGCATCTGTGCAGCCAGCACCTCAGCACTGTCGTGGGCCACCCCATGCTCTGAGGAGCCTCTGAGTGAGCTGTGTTTCCTTCTGATCACACTGCAGAAACTCGAAACTGACAGCTGCGCTTTGCTGCTGTGGAATAAAAATTAATGGTCTGGGGAGGAATGCGTGGCAGTGGCTGTAGCCTTCTCTCCCGCTCCCTGGCTGGCAGACTGGGGTTTATGGTGGGCAGCAGCGGGTAAGCCCTTTGCATCACGAACCCCTCATGGCCACGTTGAGAGGGACAGCTTCCAGCCCCGGCCCACAGAGGGCACACCCAGACTCCCAGAGCCGCAGAACTGGCCCAACACTCTATAGAGAGAAAGGGGCAGAACCAAAGTGGGCCCCCAACTCCTCCACACATGTCATCCCTGCTCTTAGGCAGGGCCAGCGCAGCCAACCTGGGCACCCCTATGACCTGTCCTTGCAGCTGTGCTCTTGACGCTAAGCCATGCCTGGCCAAGCATCTGAGCCCCTCAGGTTCTCCTCGGGAAAGCATCTCCCTCCTACTCCAAGTCTCTATGGCCTGGCTGCAGGACGGGAGGCTCCTGCCCCAAGTGGGGTCACAAAGAGAAGGCGCATGGCCTCCAAGCACCTCTAGACCCAGCAGGATGGCCATGTGCTGGCCTGCAGGGCACTTGCTGAGAGCAGCTGCGGGAGGTGGGAGGCTAAGCAACAGAGACCCCACCCTGATGGCATGGCCCTGGAAGAAACCTCAGGCCACCCAGCCTTCTCTTATACAAAAAATCCCTGGTTTTCTTTTCTTAAACCAGACCGAGTGTTTTTCTGTCACTCACATCCACATAAGTCCTGACAAGGATACCACCTTGAAGGCCTCACAGCAGAAGTCGTCCCTGACACGCAGACTCTCAGCATGGCCGTCCATGGTGGCTGACCAGCCAGGGCTACACAGCACACGGGCCGTCAGCTTCCTCAGCAAACCCTTACCAAAAGCCCCCTGGTGGGTCCAGTGCCAAGTCAAAGACAGAGGTGGGACAACTGGGGGCATCGTGGTCCCAACTCTCTCTGGGCCCTGAGCACCGCAACTCCTCAGCAAGCTGGCCACAGTGACCCCTCCCCTCCCCCAGCCACCTCATCTGTAAACCCACGGCTCATGGGGCACCAAGGCTGGGGTTCCCCAGAGAGACTGGGGGAGGGGCCCCAGGGAACATGAAACAAACAGGGAGCCCAGGAAACCCCGAGCTCACACTCCCCAGAGCTCAGCACACAGGCCACACAGCACCCACAGTCGAACATGAGAGCAGGGTGTGGGGCCCACGCCAGTGATGCCAGGAGAGGACAGAGACTCTGCCCGCCCGAAGAGTCTGGGGAGATGTTTAATTTTACTGTTTGTTTTCTGCTAAGAAACGGGGTCTCACTATGTTGTCCAGGCTGGAGGGCAGTGGCTATTCACAGGCGCAATCACATTACGGATCAGCATGGGAGTTCTGACTTGCTCGGTTCCCAACCTGGGCCAGTTGACCCCTTCTTAGACAACCTGGTGGTCCCCCAATCCCAAGTACTTTTACTTTTGAGACAGGGTCTCAGTCTGTCACCCAGCCTGAAGTACAGTGGCACGATCATGGCTCACTGCAGCCTCCATCTCCCAGGCTCAGGCAATCTTCCCTCCACAGTAGCTCAGACTACAGGGGATTCACCACCACGTCCAGCTAATTTTTTTATTTTTCAGAGACAGGGTTTTGCCCAGGTTGGTCTCAGAGTCCTGGCCTCAAACGATTCTCTTGCCTCAGCCTCCCAAAGTGCTGGGATTACAGGCAAGAGCCACCACACCTGGCTTGTTTTATTTTTAATGCAAACACAAGGGAGGCTCTTTACGGAAAGTGAGTACAGGTCAGGAAGAGAGCCACAGGACAGGCCCCAGCGTAAGTCCACTCACTTAAGAGGGCATGTGGTCCACATCTCCTCCTGGCCTTGGACCTGGGACCCACAAGGACTACTGTTACACAGGAGCCCCCGAACCAGGGTCTTTGCAAGCTGCAGACCAGATGGATGCTGGGAAACAGGCAAAGGGGGAAGCACACAGCTTTGACGGAAAGCTGGAACAGGGCCTATGAGGGAAAACTACTAGCAAGGCAGGCACTCAAGCTGCAACCTACAAAACACCACGTTAAAAGATGTCTGTAGCTCCAGCCGGGAATGGTGACTCTCACCTGTAATCCCAGCACTTTGGGAGGCTGAGGCAGGCAGATCACGAGGTCAGAAGATGAGACCATCCTGGTTAACACAGTGAAACCCTGTCTCTACTAAAAATACAAAAAAAAAAATAGCTGGACATGGTGGTATACGCCTATAGTCCCAGCTACTTGGGAGGCAGAGGCAGGAGAATCCCTTGAACCCGGGAGGCAGAGGTTGCAGTGAGCCAAGATCATGCCACTGCACTCCAGCCTGGGCGACAAAGCAAGACTCTGTCTCAAAATACACCTGCATCAAGATTCTAACCAAAGAAAAGGTAAAAAGCTTGAAGGGACGCCACCTGGTGTGAACAGACCCTGTGCTGCTACAGCCCAAAGGAGGGAGTCCCGTTCCTCATGCTTCCCCAAAGCAGCCCAGTGTCCGAGCCTCTGAGTGCAGCTGCCTGGTCAGCCTCTGGTCCCCGGCCCAGCCAGCACACAGCCCAGGCCTCACTCCAGTCCATCCACAGGTTACCTGAGCACACAGACTGGGGCAGCCATTCCCAGGGCTTATGAACCCGGAAAAACCCAGACGCGCTGGCCCCACCCCCAAGAAGAGAGAATTCGGGAGAAGGAGCAAAGGGCAAGAAGGAGCCCAGCCAAGATTACCTCGTCATCCTTCCACTCCGAGAAGTCGATCTTGAAGGAGGGCAGGGAGAACTGCTGGCTCACCCCTCTCTTGTAGTGGACGGTCTCGGACTGCAGCGAGGGGCCCTTGGGGCTGTATCTGCAGGGAGTCGGGAGCAGGCAGTGAGAACGTAGCAGAGCAAAGACCCTCCTGTGCCCATCCCTCCCACTCTGACAGCCGGAAGGGCTGGAGACACCTGTATTTTGGAGACTCTCTCTTGTGGGGGACAGGAAACAGCCTACATGGCCACATGGCCTTCACCCTTCCAGGGCCTTGCATGGCCTCTCTGCTCACCACGCAGCTCTGCCCAGGTCAGGCCTGGCTACAATTCTTCCAGAGCCCACACCTGCCCAATCCCTGTGCTGTCTCCCCAGAGATGGCTGTGCTTTTCCTTTCCTTCACGGGGTGCTAAGTTTGTTTGCTTTTTCTTTGAGATAGGGTCTCGCTCTGTTGCCCAGGCTGGAGTGCAGCGGCGTCATCTCGGCTCACTGCAACCTCCACCTCCCGAGTTCAAGTGATCCTCCTGCCTCAACCTCCTGAGTAGCTGGGATTATAGGTGTGTGCCATCATGCCAGGCTAATTTTTGTATTTTTAGTACAGAAGAGGTTTCGCCATGTTGGCCAGGCTGGCCATCAACTCCTGACCTCAAGTGATCCACCCACCTCAGCCTCCCAAAGTGCTGGGATTACAGGCATGAGCCAATGCACCCTGCTTGAGTTTGTTAGCTTTTTGAATCAACACAGGCCTTAAGTACACACAGTGCAAAATGCTCCTTCCCCAGCCCTCACGCCTGCTCCCAGCAGCCTGCGCTCCACCCCAGCAGAGACCCACAGATTGCCCCGGGAGGGTGGAGGCGGGCACCTCGTACACACGAAGGCAGAAGAGGCCTGCCCTGGCCTCCAGAGCCCAGCGTGTGAGGAGGCACTACAGGGGAGGCCCAGGATCAGCCTCAGTAAAAGGCACAGCTAGGGCACTGCCCTCAGGCAGACCCCAGACTTCTCCTGTGAGCTGAGGAGTCCTGGAAGCACCCCTCTGCCTGAGCCTCAGTTTTGCCCTGCCGCTCAAATGATGGACCACTGGCAGGCTAGATGGGGTCTGGGTGCCTGGGCAAGGCCTCCAGGTACTGAAGCTGCTCCTGCTCTGTGATCCCTGCTGGGAGGGGAAGCAGGCCTCGTGCCAGGTCCTGAGAGAGGGGGACTGTGGCATTTCTCTCACCACTGGCCCCCAGGGGTCTAGGACAGGGTGATACCAGCCAGGCTGGCAGGGCATCCTCTCTGCTCTCTCTAGCCTTTTTGGTGGCAGCAGAACCCTCTCCAAGCCCATCCAAAACAATCATGCAAGACCTGACAGCTGGGGCGTGGCGGGGCAGGGGCAGGCCACTCACTCACACTGTCCTATCTGACCTTAGCCTGCACCCTCTCTGTGGCAGCCCCCAAGCTCCTCCCCAGAAACCCAGCTCCTCCGTCATGTCGGCCAACCCCGAGGAGGGCACTAGGCCCCAGGGGGGTCACACACTCAACCCCAACCGATGGGTTGCAAGGAGGGGACAGAGGGGCCTGCCCTGGTCACTCCAAATGCTTCAATACCCATGAATTCCACGCCTGCCATAGCACACAGGCATGCATTACGGGTGTCTCAAAAGAAACATAATCAAGTGCTGGGGCAAGGTGGAGCCTCAAGGAACAAAGTCTAAAGGAAGGGGCCTGTTCCTTCCCCAGTGCTGGCCCACAGGAGCAGCCCTGGCTGCCAAGGAGCCCAGGGCCAGAGCCCTGGGGAAGCCTCATCTGGTTCAATGTTCCCTAAGAGGCCCACCTGAGTCGTCTCCACCAGCCACTCAAACTGAGCACTAAGACTCCATTCATGAGCATCAGTCGTGTAAGGGGCTGTGCACAGGACACATCACCCGCTACTCACACCACCCGCCCACATTTCCGGCTGAGGACTCCGAGGCACAAGCAGTCACGTGCCCCGAGCCACTCAGCCCTGATAGTACTCAAAGCCAAGGCTCTCAGCCACACCCATCCCCAGATGCAAAGCTGACTGCTGAGCAGTGTGCTCCAATGCAGAAAGGCAGGGGGTTGGGGGGAAATGCTCCTACCTGTTCCTAAAGTCACTCAGGGCAGATGTGCCCTGGCAGCCTAGAGGTGGTCCTGCCAGCTCCTGCTCAAGTTGCAGGTTTCAAACTTTAAGGGCCAGAAGGACCCTTATCTCAAATAAAACCTCTGAAATCGCAAATATGTAATTGTGACACAATAAAAGTAAATATTTAGTCCCGGTCCCAGTTCCTGACACAGGGATCTCTAAAACCCTTGTTATTTCCTGAGCGAAAGGGGTTCTAGGAGCCTCTTTTGTTCTCATATTTGATCTATGATCCTTGCTCCTGACACAGAATTCCAAACCCTTTGGAATTTCCTGGGTGACAGGAATGTCTTCTGTGCCAATGAGGTGACTCTCGATGGCTCCTGGAGGGGGCTGGCTGCCAGAAAGACCAAGCCACAGCTGGGCGCAGTGGCTCACACCTGTAATACCAGCACTTTGGGAGACCGAGGTGGGCAGATCAAGAGATCAAGACCATCCTGGCCAACATGGTAAAATCCCATCTCTACTAACAAATACAAAAACATTAGCTGGGTGTGGTGGCACATGCCTGTAATCCCAACTACTAGAGAGGCTGAGGCAGAAGAATCACTTGAACCTGGGAGGCAGAGGTTGCAGTGAGCCGAGATTGTGCCACTGCACTCCAGCCTCGCAACAGAGTGAGACTCTGTCTCAAAAAACAAAACAAAACAAAACAAAAAACCTGGGCTGGGCACGGTGGCTCATGCCTGTAATCCCAGCACTTTGGGAGGCCAGGGTGGGTGGATCACCTGAGGTCAGGAGTTCTAGACCAGCCTGACCAACACGGAGAAAGCCCATCTCTACTAAAAATTACACAATTACCCGGGCATGGTGACACATGTCTGTAATCCCAGCTACTCAGGAGACTAAGGCAGGAGAATCACTTGAACCCAGGAAGTGGAGGTTGCAGTGAGCGGAGATCGTGCCATTGCACTCCAGCCTGGGCAACAAGAGGGAAACTCCATCTCAAAAAAAAAGAAAAAAGAAAAAAAACCTGGAACTGAATTTCAGCCCTAGCTCCATCCTCCAGGAAGGGGAGAGGGGCTGGAGATGGAGTTATTCATCAGTCCTGTCTACATGATCAAACCTCCAGAAAAGGCCCTGTAATACAGGGTTTTCGGGAGAGTTTCTGGTTGCTGAACACGGGGAAGGTGGTGCACCCCACCTCTTCCCCCACACCTCGTCCAGTGAAACTCTTCAACTGAATCCTTTACAATCAACCAACATACATCAGCCAAGTGCTTCCCTGGATCCTGTGAGCCACTCCAGCAACTGATCAAGCCTGAGGAGTGGGCCGTGGGAGCCCTGATGTATGGCTGGTTGGTGAGAAGTACAGATGACAGTGGGGGCTTATGACCGGCATCTGAAGTGGGGCAGTCTTGTGGGACTGGGCCCTCCACATGCGGGGGCTGCACGAACTCCAGGCAGCATCAGAACTGAAACAAGTCACTGGATCCCAGCTGGTTCCCACAGAGAAATGGGGAGTCCCTGGGGAGGGAGAAGCCCCTCACGTCGTGGTAAAGTCCTGGGAGTATGTTAAGAAAGCACGACTTGCTTTTCACCCTCTGGCTGCTAAGGCAGAGAGAAGCCTCCCATGGGAGTCCAGGGCCCCCAGCCTGGCTGGTGCCAGCCG